CATTGCTCGGCTAATCTGATCCCACTGTTCATCTACACTACCACCTCGCAGCGCATTTAGCTCTTGCGCTAGTTCTAATTCAAAACAGGCACGAACGGCTTAGATGAGCAGTGATCTGCCAATCGAGTTTGAGGGTTTTTCTGTGACCAATGAATTGGAGAGTGAACTACACCAAAACTAACACACGATCAGATTCAACAGGGGTGGTCCAATAGCACCTGCAGTTTTCTACTAAACCATGCCAACAGTAGCTTACTGCTACGTGGTAGATCTGAGTTAGTCTGTCAGCTGAATTTGAACACCATGTTGCTGTCTGTTGAGTGCTGTGTCGCAAGTTGGTGCTGGATAAGAGCAGATGATGGTCTGCGCAGAACTGAAGAAGTCGGTCCCCGTTATCTGTTCGCTGGAAGGGCAGAGCACAATAACCGCCTAGGCAAGGTTCCGATGCGCTCAGTTTTCCAACTTGGGCGTGCCTGCGAGAACGACTATATCGGAACTTCGGCTCAATCGAATGAGTTCGGTCAGTTTATCATAAAACTGGTCCTTTTGTGCGTCAGAACTGCAATTGGTCAGTTTATACACTGAAATGATGAGCAAAAATCTTTTGGTATTGCTTCCTTTCCGGACACTGATAGGCCCTTGGAGCCGCATCGCACAGCGATTGTTGACGGGGATCCAATCGGGTAGTGCAGCTTCGGCTGTATTATGGAGTACAATGCCCACACCACGCTGGCCTACTGAATGGGCTTCATCATCACCTGACGTGCGGAGGAAATACCTAGAAGACAAATGCATTGCACGTAAGTGACTTATAGTAATAGGATCATGGATTCGCGTTTCCGATACGCAGCAGACATCAGTCCCCAAAGAGTTCAATCAATATCATCTCTAAATTTCTCGCTGGAGATCATAATCCGTCGATTGTCTGTCGCACGCAAACGGTATACGCGTAAGAACTAGGCTGGTTGTAGACCTGGTCAAGGTTGTATCGACCACATCGTCAATCGTCGTCAAATTATGGAACACAGACATTCCCTTCGTATACCCACCATTACTATCTTACTCGATCCGAAAACGGCTTTCGATTCAGTCGACTGTGCAGTCCCCTTCGGAAGGGTGTGCTCGAGAAATTCATTTCAATTTTTCAATCTCTTCATAGTAAATGCTGGAGCCGTCCCAGCTTTTGGCTTTTTTCGTTCAAGTTCACTACCAAGAGTGGTGTTCGTCAGGGTTGCTTTTTGTCCTTTTCTGTTCAAATTCATAGGTTTAATTCTTGAAACAGCCCTATCTTCATGCAAGGACAGAGACATCGATTTACTCCCAAGTGGCTGACTCTGATCTGGAGTATACAGACGAAATTGTGCTACTAAATGAAGATCCAGGTAAGTTGCAAGTTTTTCCGGATGGTGTGCTTTTGTAGCCATATTCGGTATGCGTTTTCACCTTCAAAGTGTGAGATTTTTCTACAAGATTTTGGTTGTCCAGCTCCCAACCTCACCCCGATTGAGGGATTACTAGAGGAAGTAGATTAGTTTTGCTATCTGCTCAGCTATACCTCACCTGACGGACGCGTCACAGATTGAGTGTCGGCACGCATACAAAAGGCTCGGTTGGCATTTGTTGGTTTGAGACATCTATGGCCCCGTCGCGACATCCGGCTATCCGTGAAGGCTCGAGTGTATGCTGCAGCAGTTTAGCCAGGTCTGCTCTAAGGTGCAGAGCCTTAGCCATTTTGGGAACAGGATAGAGATCGATTGTCGGTGTTCGAACACCGCCGTTTATGTTGCATTGCACGAGTCTCGTGGGAAAACCCGACAAGCAATGCTGCGGCTAGACGGAGAGGTAATCACGATCGTCCACTGGGGGAAGTGATCGACCTCCATAGATTAAGCTGGTTGGGACATGTGCTGCGCATGTCACCAAATAAGTTACCGCAGCGAGCGATGTTTGTCGAGGCAGATAGCGGCTGGAAAAGTTCGAGGATGGTCAAACAGACCTGGCAAGGTGTTATTAAAGCCCTTACCTGGAAATTGAGCTACATAGGTCCCACTAATCTCCCTGGCTTGGAATGATCGCAACCAGTGTTTAGAGACATTGAGGGATATGGCTGGTTGTCGTAAACAATAGCGCTCGTGCATCTACTCATTATGTTCTCAAAGAAAACCCCAGGAATTCCCGCTGCTTTGCGGGTCAGAGTCTTGAGTCAAAGGCTCCGGTTAGGGTTCTCAAAGAAAAACCCCTTCGTCGATGTGGGGAACCTCGAAGTATGTCATGCCCTAAAGTCTTAGGCACCCATTTGGAAAAACCTCTCCGATCTATGTAGTTCTTCCTCTCAATCCCGAATAACCCCAGACGCCTTTTTACTCCACTCATCGAATGTCACTCAGCGGTTTCTCAGGCCAAACAATCAGAAGTTACAAGATTTTTGAAGCCGAAATCCCCTTTTCACTTAGCTGCTTTCAATTTCCGCACACTCTATCAGATTGGTCAGCAAGCTGCCTTGGCTAGAACCCTTGAAACTTGCAATTTCGATGTATGCTGTCTCCGAAACACGCATACAAGACCCTACTTCAATCATTTCCCGGCGTTCTCCTAAGCCAACCTTGACCTCACCCTTCACTCTCTGCGTGTCAGGCGATTCGGTAACCGAACCTCACAGTGTTGCTGTTGTTGGAATTGCTCTAAGTGCCAAGGCTGAGCGCTCGCTTCTTGACTGGATTCCAGTCATTAGCCGACCGTGCACCGTACTTCTCGCTGGGATCATACTCCGTCGATTGTCTGCCACACGTGAACGGTGCACGCGTGAGAACCAGGCTGGCTTTATAACTGGTCCAGGTTAGATCGACAACATCTTCACTCTTCGCCAAACTCTGGAGCACTGACACTCTTTGCGTAGACCCACCATCTCTATCTTCCTGGATCTGAAAGCGGCTTTCGACTCAGCCGACCGCTCTCAACTCTGATGCTGCCTTTCTCTGAAAGATGTGCCTGAGAAGCTAATTCCAGTATTACAATCCCTTTATACAAATAGCTAAAGTCGAGTCCAAGCTTACAGCACTCTTTCGCCCGAGTTCACCACAGAAAGTGGTCGTCAAGGTTGCTCTCTCTCCTTTTCTATTTA